TTAATCCGACGCCACACCACACCACACCACATCACACACTGCAATTATACCCAAAATCGGTTGTAGTTGTGGCGCTCATAATTAATACACCGGGAGCGGTTTTCTGCCTTTACTTATGGCCACAAACATTGGAGCTGAAGTGCTGCAAGCTTTACAAACTCTGCAGAAACATAATTTCAAGGTACAGGCTTTGATCTATTATTTGTTTGCAGGAATCGGAGGCGGCTTTAAAAAAGGAAGCAGGTTTAACGGATAGCAGTGTTGCGGATGAGTTCTTTGAATTTAAGGCGTACGTTTATTGCCTTGGGCGTGTTTACTTTCATATATTAATATGCTTGTGTTGTATTCCGCAGACTATTTTGGTTAAGTATGGCAGTTTGTTTATTGTCTGAGCTTGGACGTAGCAAAATTAATGCAAATATTTCGCATTATGATTTTTAAATGTATCGGTTGCTATCGGTCCCATGTTATTCCTTTTGACCTTGATTATTCCAAATCTTTCCTTCTGCCTCGAAAATACCGGTTTCGTGTCAACCTATGCTGACCTTTTTGTTTTGTAGTGTCTTGGCTGATGTGTTTGCACATTTCAGTTTTACTCAAAGTAGCGTTTAATGCCCCCTATGACTAGTATTGTTTTCGACGCTGCCATTTTGGCGAACATTCCATTGTCGTATTTCTTTCTTTCCTTCACGAGGCTTTGTGTGGGGGTTTGATTTTACATCCCAAACTTGCATCGTATATTTACTGTCTTTATAGTTCATGCCGCGTCAAACAATCTAATAAGTTACATTTTTTTAAATGCATCGCTTAACTGCTGGTTGATCATACTCAATTGCTAGTAAGTTTTCCTTTAAATTTCCCAATTCCAGTATGTGGATAAGATTTTACACATATTCCTGCACGGATCAACTAACATTATTTTTATTTGTGCGTTGTTTTGACAATTTCATTTGCTTTTAGAGATACACCTGACGACCCACACCTATTTTCGGCCGCATACGAACAGATCATAAAATTTGTAGATGGTTGCTCTGATCAACACAAGGTTGTTTCATTCAATTTCTGACTTGATGTAGCTTGAATTATCTGGTTTGCTTTATCCAATTTTTGTTCAGCTATACATGCGTCTTGTGAGCGGCAACTATCCCGTCGATGGTATTTTTATTGAATATTCAGACCCATTAATTCTTTGTTTAGCTGCCGCATTGATGAACAAATATCGGCGTTTTCAGGAAGATTTTTATCAAGATGACATTCAGACTCTTTCTAACATAACTGAACCGAATCATCTGTTTACAAATCCGCTTGTAGAGACGTTTAGAGCATCTGATTTCTACGTAAGCGTCGCATCATCATCATATACGATTTTCCGCCGTTTTATTCGCGAGAAGGGGCTGTCTGTAATTCAGAGTATCCTCAAAGACCAGTTGAATGTCGAAGGTACTCAAATATTACCTTATAAATAGCCCTATTCAGTTATTGACGGTCCTCCGCGGTCAAAACTACAATTGTGCTGCCGTCGCGGTGCAATATTCGGAGAATCACGACGTGATGCTAACTCGGAGCCTGTTTTGTTTGGACTTTTAAGAGACCTTACTGTTGAATCGGAGCCATCTGAGACAATTGATCCAATGACCAGCGAACTAGGTTACGCTTTCCTCTGCTACCTTTGTTATTAGCACATTAGTTCTCACATTGTTTTGCTAATGTCCACAAAGTATTACGAGAACTCCATTTCGTAAATCCGATACCGTCGTTTTTCAGATGGTGACACAGAGTTGACTCCGTCGAAAAAGAAGAAGAAAAAGGACGGTGGTCCTTTGGGCCAAAAATCATCCAAGTCCGACGACTCCAAGGGTTCTTCAAAGTCACCAGCACTTGATAGAATTCCACTTCCAAAGGTACGGTTAACTGCGTTTTTAACTACCAGAACCTCAAATTTAACCTCGGATGTTCTTGTCTATCAATTGTAGGCTATCAGTCGCACTTATTTTTCTAATCTAATGTAAATGCGTGCCCTGAATCAATTTTGATCCTTGGCCACGAGGTCTTGTTTCTTCAATTTCCGAAACGGACCTGGCTATTCTGCGTTATTCAAAATGTATTTAAATTTGCATTCTCGTGATTATAAATTGGCTTTAGCTCTCCGATGCCTACTTAGACCGTCGTAGGACGCTTCGTCGAGAAACTGCCCAGATAAAAAGGAGCATCCTTCAGCGGGACTCAAACCCTGGTACATCAGCACTTTTTTATACTGTGTGCAATGCGCAGCCTGGTGAATCAGCGTTGGCTATCCGTCGTGGAGGCGTTCCCTGTATGTCCTTTTCAGAAGACCTAAGCATGCTCGTTGCAGCCTTAGGCTCCGGTCGTATTCGTGTTTGGGCCCTAGGAGCTGAGTCACTAAGGCAGTTGCTGCCGCCAGATGAACTTGAACTACTCGACATGAATGATGCAAGAATAAAGAGCAAAATGCTTCATGACGAAAACGAGTGAGTATTGAACCAGGTTCACGTTTATTGTGTCATTAAGGCTACTTTGCCGTAAAAGTACCCTTTTGAATTTAAATATCCACGAGTTTCGTCGCATAACTTGTGGGTACCATGTTTGATTTTTGGTAATCCATCGTGTGTGTGGTCAGTTTAAATTGTAATTCTAACCATAAAGTCAAAAATCTGTTAGCGGCATGAAAATGAAATTGACTTTAGAAGAGACAAAGCCTTCCTTATGTAGATTCTACAAATAATCTGTTTGGCTCGATCTTTTCGGGATTTATGTGTGCGACACCATAAATTTAAGGTTAAAATTTGAGTAGCGTTCCGAGAATTTTTGAAGTTATATATATATATATTAACCAGACCAAAGTATAAGTGAGTTTGGTGCCTGTCTTGAGTCGACACCTATCCTTGAACCGAAGGATGAGAATTTTCCGGTGAGGATGTTTTTGTTGGTGTATAAACGGAATAAAAGAGCCCCATGTTAGAGTATTTACTTTATCGCAGTACAGCTAGTGCAGTGTAAAACTTGGTTGTCTCATTATTTAATTGTGTATTCTCATGAAGCAAGGCGCATCCATCGCGTGACTTGATTGGTCATCAGTCTGCAGTGCATGGCGTCGCCTTTTCACCCGATTGCCAACTGATTGCCTCCGTGAGTGCTGACGGCTCCCTGAGGCTTTGGTCCACGAAAATTTGGGGAGGGGCTCTCTCTGTGTGGCGAGACCACGTTTTGCCCATATGGTAATCATTGTGCTTACGTTTCGAAACCCATGTCCTTTTGAATTACCCTTTCCGATAAATGTCACTCTTATGGCCGCAAGTCTGTGATATCGCAAGAATATTTCTGTAAACAGACAGCTAATTTACCCATTTACATTCCTAATGTTGTGATTGACAAGCTTTTTTATCTCATGCGTCGATGTCGTTGATGTGACTCTAAGCTCTTAAAACACCTGTTATGAATTCTCACCGTCATATCCGGGGCACCAAAATTTTGTTCGTCAAGGCCGACCCTTGTGCAAGTAAATCGCCTAAAACGTATTTGTTTATCTGCTTGGCAAGACCAATCAACTTCTCCGGAGATTTCAATGGTAGGTTTGTTATAACACTTCCGATGAGTGCACTCCTGTACTATGGTAGGTCCCTCAATTTTATCGCCCCAGTCGGTTCGTAGTGGAATTCGGCTGACTTATTTGAAATGCTACCGTCTATATGACGTTTTCTGGTTGAATTAACTTGTTAAACAGGCCTCAACATCGTGAACTGGGAAACACCAACATAAGACTGCTTACTTTCACCGAGCTTTTGTCGGCACTGTCTTGTTCTTAACTAAGATGTCGACGCGGTGCCATTTCTCGACGTAGAAGTGAAGTATTGTCTGATTCTATATGTGATAACGAAATGTAAATTTGGTGATGTCTAACGTAGGTCGTTGTCTTTTCATTGTGCCATGACCATCCTGATTTCTAGTTTAAAGAATCTTGTTATACTTTATTTTTTTCCACTGTTGAGAAACGAAATTTAAAATACCTAAATGAAATAACGCTATTTTAATGCCTGATTCACGCGTTTTCCTTACGCTGGATTCCTTCTGCTTCGATTTACTTCCGGGTTATTGCCCTCAAGGTATTTGGCATTATATTTCCACGAGTAAACTTTTGCTTGCATCACACTGTCACATGACCTCCAACATTGCCGCCATAGGTGCGTGTCTTGGGCTCCCTCCTACGGACACTACATAGCCACTGGGGGTTCTGACAGAACCGTGCGCATGTACGCCTGCGACCACGCGCCCCAACCTTTGCGAATCTTCACCGGCCACAAGGCGGATGTAACCACGGTCGCTTTTCATCCTAATGTCAACTACCTGGCCTCCGGCAGTGCCGATAGGGCCGTTCGACTTTTCGATGTTCGTTCGGGAAAGTGCGTCCGTCTCTACACTGGTCACAAGGTAACTGCTTAACTTTGAGTGTCGTGCTTCGATTTCATACTTTACTGCGCAATATTGAACCACTCCATCGACTCTTTGGATAACAATCCAGTACCTAATGACGCTATTTCGAAAGCCTCTATGTTCCTCCATTCATGTTACACACTCCCTACTTTCTATTAGCTACATGTTCCATAACTGGTCTTGAACACACGTAACTGTAAGTGGGACGCTGAAATAGATGATATTTACTCATCAATTTGTACGTATCGAACGGAGAAATGGCATCAGTACTCCTTTTTTGTTGGTGAGGTTAAGGCTTCTCTATACTTTTTGTAGTATAGAAGTCTCTTACGATGTAGGTACCGTTCTTTTTGATCTTTCAGTGACAGTAAATCTTAGTTACCATAGTTAGTACATTTTTCCTCCAATCTCCATAGAGTTTTCATGTATGGAATCATGGCAGACTGGTTTTCTGACTTGATGCGAATTTCCAAGAATTTAAACTCATTAATCTTCACCAACTTTGCCTTTATCGCCCCAGCAAACTCGCACCAATAACTTTTGATTCCCATGATCATCGTAGTGTTTGGACGTCGGTTCCGGTTTCTTCGAACCACCTTAAGTTCAAACTGCGTGGTAAGTGTTAGTGCCTTGTTCTTATAGGGCTCAGTCCAGTGTCTAGCCTTCTCGCCTTGTGGCCGATATCTCGCTTCTGGCGGGTGGTGTGGGGCTACGTGTTTGTGGGATCTAGGAAGCGGTGCACAAGTTGGCCAGCTTGGTGGCTTCAGCACAAACAATTTCAAGAGCCGCGTCTCCGCCAATGCCGAAGATACCAGCCAACTCCTCACCGGGCCCGTTGTTAGTTTGGCCTTCTGTCCTGATAGCTCGAGCGGTCGTTTGGCGACAGGTGGGCTGGAGGGTGCTCTTCGTGTTTGGAACGTCGGCTCGGGAAAGGTTTCACAAGTTGGAGACAATGACGGTAGTTTATCTCTGCTGGGCGTGCACAGTGCGATGAGCGAAGAATCTCGAGGCAGCGGTGGGAGCGCCTCCTGTCGGTGGGAGACGGATCAGTACTACAGCATGGTGGGCGGTTACGAGGTTGCTCGGGGCTGTCTCCTGGACGCCTTCTTCACGCGCAAATCAGCGGTTCTTGCTGTACAGTTTGCACACCCTTACTTGTTGCTAGCCGCAGGGCCATACAACCAAATATAAGTGTGTACATAGCATTGTTGCCCTATGTTGATGCTATTTTTAAGGGATATAGGTGTTTCAATACCGCATCATCTCCACTCCTGCTGTTGATGTAGACTAAACACGTCTAATTACACTCTCACACCATGGAGGTATCAAACGGTGCCCCAGCGACTAGTCACTTACTTTTAATGAGGATTCAGATTTAAAACTGCGCCATCGAAGGAAGCCCTCTTAGTTCAAAGTATTTGTGAAGGTGTACAATCTAAAATTTCGGATTCTTGCAGTTGGGAGATATGTGCATATGTTTGCATACTCACTACGTTTTACAACAGTGCAAATCTAATTTTTTTGGATGAACACATCACGATTGGTGCATTTTTACACATTGATCTCAGTATTTCTTCCGGTTCATTATATGTCGTAGAAAGTAACAAACTTGGGTAGCGCGCGAGACGTCTGGCAGCCCGAAACATACAGTCAGGCTGTCTACCAGAACCAGCTACTCCACCGAAGGTGACCCAATCACACGACGGAAGACAAATATTTCGTGCACCAAGAAAATTCTCAACTGCTGAATACGCTGTAGGATGTAATGAGGGAACGGAGGCACAAATATGGTTAATGTGTAGGCTAATTGGATGTTGTGTATTCACCATGTCTTGGAACCTTCTTTTTGGCGAATCAGCTTGATGCGAGGGTGGGAAGGTAGAAGAGGTTAAGGAGGAAACGGCGGTAACCACAACAGGTCAGGGTGGTGCGTAACACGCATGTCATCTTTTTTTTGAATCCATGAGTATAAAAATTTAAGTCAATGTAGACTGACTGCACATTCAATTCATAATGGGTTTCGTTAATTGAATTTATCTGTCTGTTTCGTGTGGGGAAGTTGTTTGTTCATTTCTGAAATAATGACTAAATTAAGAAAGACGACGAATGTTATGGAGTTCAATAATAATTTCCAACAAAACTTTAATGCCAACGATGGAACAAACACTAGTAAAGGCCAATCCTGACTGTTCAATCACGTGCACGTTTTATTCTGTGAAAGTCGAGTGA